GGAAAACAACAACCAAAAATATCATTCTAAACATATATGTAGGCCTACATATAATGAGATATTGGCTCTCACGTCGACCCAGCCCTAAGTGGGTAGCAGGTAGGTCCCTGGAAAGTGAAGGCGGCCGGCTTGATGCCAACCCTCATCATCCACCAAATGCGGATTGGTCTATAACAAAAAGGTTTATCCCCGTGTGCCCAATACGACAGAAGGCTTTACTTTACTTACACATATACAGTCGGACAGGTATTATTTCATATAGAAAGAAAGACAGAAAGGTAAAACAGATAGATTGACAGAAGAATGGAAAGTCAAGCTTCTTCAAGATGCAAGCAATTAACGGGAATTCGCTTTCAGTGATGCACTACTTGACTCCTTGCGACACAGATCGACCATGTCTGTGATTGTGTACAAAGGCTCGCCTTGCGCTTCCCGATGAGCCAGTTAGAAGAATGTAGCCTTGGAAGATGGTTAGGTTGTTTATGATATTGATGATGCTGACCTCTTGCAAGTGGCATGCATCTCTCACTGATGCTATTTGAAATCGCGTTGAACAGCTCTGTACACTTAAATGTACTGCACTGATTCTCATGGGAGTCCCCTGTGGCGGAGCGACTAGACGCTCGCCGCGGATCGAAAGGTCGTGGTTTCGCTCCTGGAAGAGCCGGACTTTTTTCAAAAATGACCTTGGCTCCCAGATCGACCCAGCCTTGAATGGGTACCGGGTGCAGTCTCTGGAAGTAAAGGCGGCCGGTCTGAAGCTGACCACATCACCCATCTTGTGCCAGAGGGTCTATAAAAATATAGGTCTAGCTCTATATGCGCTATACGCCTAAAGGCGTGGAAGAGGGTCCTTTACTTACTTTACTTTTACTGATTCTCATTTCGCTACTTTAATTTTAATTAACCCCAAATAATGGAAATCCTGAAGTTTCCGGGAAATTCCATTATTCTAGAGGTATTATGGGTTGGGGTTAAATGTTATGGAAATGGTTTGGGTTAGTTAGGCTTTGCGGTGGGATTGGTCGGTGTAAATGATTCGTTCGGGTCTGACAGGATCAAACCCAAACCCCAATCCAAACTAAAACACTCCCAGACTATTGGACTTGCCCAGAAATTCCGGGATTCCTTTGTTTGGGGTGAATAAAAAATAAATTAAAATCATCACATGTTTTTAACAATTTCAGCGCTATATGTCTTTCAAAATGGCAGCTGATTATCACAATGATTGAATATTAAATAGTCTGTGTTCTCTTTCTTCTTGTTGTCAGTTATAGACAGTGCGTTTTCTTTCCTGAAAAAGGTGCTGATACTCACCACAGCGTGTCTAGAAGAAACAAAAAAAAAAAGTGCCGATGCTCACCGCTAAGTGTCTATTACACAGGCGCTGAAGCAATGTTTGAAAAACCTTGTCGATACCATCCTGGTTGTGGGCCTCTTTTTATAAATCTGTATCTATTGCAGTTATCTCTGTGAAATGATATTTCTGAGAAAAGCCGCCAATTCAACCATCGAAGACAAAGTTAGAAATGATATTATCAGACAGACTGTAGGGACAACACCATGCAATACATTCACTGAGAAACAGAAGATGAAATAGCTTGTTCGTCTAGTAAGAATACAGCTAGAACAACTACCAACGCAGGCGCTTCACGTAAAGAGATCTGAAGTGAAAGCAAGAGGCCGCCCTGGGAGAGCATGGACTGATGACGCTGAAGATTTTCTACATCAACATAGAATGACAATAGCTATTCCTGCCTATCAGACAGTGGATCGAAAACTGTTCCTTCCCACGTGGCTCAACGGCAAAAGTGGAAATTGATAATGATGATGAAGATGCTCTATTGCAGTCTATGTTTTTCTACTCGTGTAACCTGTTTCAATGATTCTATTTCATTATGACTGCCAATTGACAGTAACGTTTGATTATATAGGGTTTATTCGTAGTCTATAACTTCTATTTGTTTTCTTTTTAATATGTCTCTGATGAGCATGGGTCTATGTAACTTGATTGTTGCATATGTGGTTAGATGTCTGCTCTCGTGTCTCCTCTAGCGTCTAAACTATGAGGGTCCATGTGACTTGGCCCTTCTTCGTTAGCACTGAGGTTGTTATCAACTCCTAAACGGTTGCTCGAGGAGTTTCTTAACCACTATATACACATAATTCTGGCATGTAATGAATTTTATTGTAAGATTACTTTATTCTAGCCACGCCGTGTTGACTACTTCATCCCATAATAGTGGCTGTGCCCATCTCTCCCACCGTTTGCGATCAGCTCTTGTTTTAATCCGTCAGATTTTACTAATGACATGTTGTACTGTCCGGTCATATCAGAAAGCTGGCATACCGATGTCATGGCCTCTGTTGTTGCTTTTCTCCACCAAGACGACACAAAGAAGTGATCTCTGTCACGGTACCCCAGTGTGCTCCACGTGCATCCTGATGCAATGGTGGTAGACACCAGTTTGGGTCAATGAATCCGCTTGTCGGGTTACCCTTCTTGTAATTTTTATGTCATTCAAGCTCACTGGATCGGCAGACAACAGGGCATCCTCCAGCTCTTCTCCCTGAATATTAAGTGATTACATTGTCCCACTGGCTGCCTCTAGCGTTGAAGTCACTGCAGTAAATGACGTTCTTTTCCTACGTATTGAACAAACTACCATGCGTCCACCTTTACGTTGCAGGCGTACACATTACCAGTCACAAAATGATTTGGTTCAACACTCTGATCGCGTGTACTTGTAATTCATCACTATTTCACGCAGACATGTCAAACTCAGACACAGTTATGTTGTCACTAACAAGAATTACCTTCCGAGGTGTCGTCTATATTACTGTACACAGTCAATACAACAACTAGCAGCCTCCTTATACGGTTTGAAGAAAAATTAAATCAGCGAAGCTTCATTTGTACTGTACACAATCACAACAACAATTAACAATGCCTTATACAATCAAAACAAAGAAAATCAATAAATAGTCATTGTTCTATATATTTTTTATTGGATTCTATAATGAACACACAGCTGGAAAGTTGAAAAGAGGCCCTGGAGATGTGGACTTAACGAATTATAAGTCGTATTGCACGTGGGTGGGGTTGGCGTTTAAAGGAGCTGGTTGGGTATTGGAGGTTTTACATGAATGCAAAGGTAATAAAGAGACACATGAAATAAAAGAGTAGACATAGAGATATAAAAGATTTACGCAAAATAATTCAGCAGTGCTAAAAGACACAACACTCTTTGAAAGTCCATATTGCAGGGAAAAGACAAATAAATAGAAAAGTAATTTAACGGATCCATGTTCGAGAAACACATTTTATTGAGTAAAAGAAGAATAATAGTTTATATATATATATATATATATATATATATATATATATATATATATATATATATATATATATATATATATATATATATATTTGTGTGTATGTTTGTATGTGTGTGTTTTAAAAAAAAAAGCACAATTAAACAAATGTATGCATCTTAGAGAAGCTAAAAATGTACAAATAAAATGGCAGTAGGAATTAAATAGATAAATACCAAATATATTGTCACATGAAAGCTTCTCACATTCGTCAACAACATACTAGAGAGAAGGTCGAAGGCCATCGAGTGAAAGATAGACAACGATACAAATGAGAGCTAAATTCAAGACATTAAAGAACAGAGGTCTATGTGTGAAGCTTGTATCAGCTACACTTATTGCAAATAAAGTCCACATATCAAGCAATGGGATGGGAAAATGAAATGGCAATTTATATGACACACAAAGACGCTACAGCAAATTGATCTGGTTCATATCACTAGGGAATTTATGGAGGTCAAAAGAAATTAAAAGAAATACTAAACTAAAAATGTTTAAATCTAATGTCAAATCAGTACTACTGTATGGGGCGGAAACATGGAGAACAACTAAGACAATTACTAATAAATTACAGACATTCATTAACTGGTGCCTGCGCGGAATAAAGGGAATTAAATGGTATGATAGAATAACTAATGTAGAACTTTGGGAGAGAACTAAACAGGCTCCAGTGGACCAAAAGGTTAGGAAAAGACGCTGGCGTTGGATAGGACACACACACTGAGAAAACAGGAGAACAGCATAACTAGAGTGTCTTTGCATTGGAACCCACAGAGGCATAGGAATAAAGGAAGGCCAAAAAACAAATATAAAAGAGAGCTGGAGAATGAAGTTAGAAAGATGGGAAGGACATGTGGAGAGCTCCATGCAATGGCGAAGAATAGAACGACTTGGCGTGAGTTGGTTGAAGACCTATACTCCATTGGGGGGATAGAAAGGCAGAAGAAGAAGAAGGAGCAGATGGCTGGTCGCTCACAGATAGATGTTCAATGGAGAAGATCTGAGCACCCATAAACTTGTTTGGAGTTTATTGATGATGGTCTATTTATATAATTTAAATGCATTCATACCTATCGACATTCGACGTTAAGGTTTAAATGCACTGTGCTGACTTTCAACGTAAGAGACGCCATGTTTCGAACCCAACTTTAGTAAACGTGTTTGCCAACACCTTTCTTTGAATAATATATGGCGTAAAATTACATATAGGAGAAATTGGAAGCTAATAAACAGTCAGCCACCATAGGGGATGCCTTGGCAACGTTTGAAATTTATAACAATAATTTCCACATCAGAATATTTGTGTGGATTCAGTTATGTACAATTATTCGCCAATTCCACAAAGCCTGTACTCTGAGCTGAAACTTTCTTAATGTGATCATTAAAAAAAAAAGAAACTATTCTGACACATTGAGCCAAGAGTAGTCAAGACAGTCAACACACTCAGTTTAAATCAGTTTATTCAATGAACAACATATTGTTTGCAGAATAACTTCAGGCAGCCTCACAAACATATGGTTTTTGATTGAGATAAATACAAATGCAAACCATGTTCCAAGCAGGTGGCCGTGTTTCAAGGGCATCAGGGTCCAAACCGACTGAGCAGGTCTCTAACTGAACTCACTCTATTTGAAGTTATAGCAAGGCGGGTAAGGGTCAGGTAACTCTGGGGGCAGGAGACCACATCGGACAAGCTGCTTTCGCTGGTGCAACAGTCTATAAAAGTTTTCGTAGTTAAACTCTGGGGCAGCATTTCTGTTCTGGGGTTTTTGCTGTCGACAGTAAAACAGAAATATAAAAAATCAGGAGTCATTATTTAACACACACGCGCGCGCGCGCACACACACACACACATACACACACACACATACACACACGCGCATGCAAAAAACACACACACATAACACACACGCGCACGCACGCACACATACACACATACGCACACACAAACACACATACACACACAAGTAACAGTAAAGCCCTCTTAGATAGGCCCACAGTGAGTACTTCTCTTCTTCTTTGTTCACCGGCTTTAGTTGTTTGTCCCACGAACCCCGTTTAGCACATAGGTCGGGTTACACTGAGGCTCCCGGCAATAGCCAGAGTGGTTTTTTAAAGCAACAAAAAAATTGCGTCTGACATTCGGTATTTGATGTATTATTTGATTTCCCGAGTGTGTGTGCGTGTGCATGCGCGCGCTCGTGTGTGTGTGTGTTCGCGTGTGTGTGCATCCGTGCTCGTGTGTGTGTGTGCGCGCGCGTGTGTGTGTAATTCAACCCCAGCAAGACCGTACAGCGAGCGACCAACACCCGGTGAGACAAAGTGCCACCATACGTATGAGAATCACCCGGGCACGTGTCCCAGAAACCCCGTTCAACCGATAGGTTATATTAGGGCCCCTGACTACAGCCAGGGGTATGGCCTTAAAAATAATGTACAATTGCCTCCCATATTGAGACGGGATTGTGGCTGATTTCCCGAACAAGATCCCAGTGTCCTAAACAGTTTGGCCAGCCGCTTCTCGTTTAAGAACAGGTTAAACCCCAAAATTGAATTTGTTTATATCTGCTGGAAACAATGCTTGACTGACTGACTTTCTACCCCACCAGGACATCACACAAGCGATAAACACCCGATGACACAAAGTGCCACCATGCGGATGAGGATCACCGTGGAGAGGTCCCAGAAACCGCGTTCAGACAATTGGCCATATTGATGGCCTGACTGTATTGCGGCCCCTGGAAAAAGCCAGAGTGGGGCTTCAAATAACAAAAAATTACGTCCTAAAGAGGACGTAATTGGAGTATATAGAAACAATGCTCTCTGTAGGTACAAACTAGTTAAAGATTCGAGGAAAATTTATTTTGGGGGCTAAAATTAACATATTTTGAGAAATGTCAAATTTTATACGGAAAATAGCTAAATTTGACCTCAACATTTACCACAAACTAATAAAAATGGCTAAACAGAAATTTCCACATAAATTAAGCATTACATTTCAAACACAATGAAGTAATTACTATTCACTCAAATCTACGGTTTAAAAGTTGTGCTTATCTATGTGGTACCCAAAAAAAAAATTGCGGTTGGGGTTAATAAACATGCATAAAAATGAAAAAGTTTTAAAGCTGATGTGTTTATTATAGTACAGTCTGTTTCATTATTATTTTCCTATGCATGTACCGAGCCTTGAGACAATACGTTAATAGTTTTTGAGATATTGTGACACAAAGTAGTTACACATTTAAAAAAAAAGTGGGGGGGGGGGGGGGGAAGGGAGGGGGGTTGAAAAAAGACAACAACCAAACAAAACAACTTAAACTACCATCCTGGTTTTCACAATAATCCTTCACATAATGAGTCCCTGATGTATGTGAGTTTTCCTCGGGATACCCTTCAGCTCTGTGAATACTTTATCGTACTTGTTTTATCATCTTATCCATTTTCTTCAATTCATCAGCAGCTCTTTCATGTGCTTGATCAAATCTACGAAATGTAGAAATGCTGTGCCACTGCTTAGCACTGACTAGTTCCTCATTATTATATACAATAACAGAATCATTCCTATCTATTTCTGGTCGATATCCTCCAACATGGATTACATGGGTTAGGCTATCCCAGTTATACAGTTTCTAACAAGTGGGCGAAGTAAGTATTAAAATAGTCTAATAAATAACTTTATGAGTTTCAATATTTTGCTTGCATAATTAAATAAATAAACAGTTACCATGCCAATTGAAAAAAAAAAATTCATTAAAATTACATTGAGATGGAAGAATTCAACAAGACATGCATTATTATAAGCAGAAATGAATACACTTTCATGTAGTAGTTAAAAAAAAAAAGTTAATTGCACAATTTTGATAAAAAACAAGTCAGTTTGGTGTGTGTTTGTGGGGGGGGGGGGGGGGGGGTTAACCTGCACTTAAACCAAAATAATTATTAGTCTAAAATCGTCGTTTTGTGATTTGTTCGAAATTAATGATCTTCGTCTTTCTTTTTAATTAATCTGTCGGTCACACTGAGGTGGATACCATCTTTAGTTTCTTAATTTTGGGGCGGCTACCCAATGTCGGGTATTTGATTTTAATAATACTTGGTTGCTTCCCTTTACAAAGACAACTTTCGAATCGCGAAACGTTTGCCAGCCAGCATGGGTGGAGATTTAGGATTCGAATAAGTTACTAATCCGACTTGTCATAATTGATGTCGCTAATATTCATACCAGGAAATATCCCGGAACAACCCCTTCCCCACTTAAACCCACCCCAACAACCCTGGTTCCGGCGATTCAGGTTGAGTACCTTACTGTCAATGAGATGGCGAGACCGCGGGCAGTTTGATCAGTCCTTCTAGAGTTGCATTTGAAATGTCCCATATCGTCCCATATTGTTACAGATTGGTCAGGACATAGCGGAGGTTGTGATCAGAATCATGTTATCTGACTTTTTCATTCCATGATGTTTCCTGGTAACCAATGTAAACTTGGTCGACCGGAGAGTCAAGAAGCAGATGCGATGTTATGACCGTTGGGGGTGATAAGCCATATTTCAAGCCAGGAATCTTTCGCGTTACACAGATCGACTTGTGCAGAGGTGTAACACCACAAATGGTCACCGAACAAATGGATATGGGCTCATATTGGTCAAGCCATAGCTACACCTCTCTACTGTCTTCATAGAAACATGTTCCTAACCGAGGGAGTGGCGATAATAGATAAGATCGACGGTTTTTTTTAAAGGTCGGAGCCCATCAGCATGACATTGGAGGAACCAATAGTCTGCACACAAAGAAACAAGATCTGTATAAAGGACATGTACGGACAACACAAATCCTCGTAAAAAAGACGCAAGTTCAGAAGCGGACGAACAGCCACAATTTTTCACCAGATTTCATCTTCGGTGAACTTCAAAACAAACAAAAAATGTAAGGAAATAGACTGGCATCTTTTTATCCGTTACAAACCTGATCAATTAAGGTGTTATAGGCAATAGCGTCCGGCATGAGATTTCTGCGATTGTTCAGCATAATTGTGCAGGAATCTGAGTCCTTGAACCATGGCGTGTTCTTCCGCGTAGTTGACCTGTGCCACTCGTCCTCATCCATTCCCAGACGACAGATGGCAGCATCCGGGTTGGGGTAATAAATATTGTACCAGGTCCACTCATGGTGAAAGGCCATTGTACAGTGGCGTATTTTAGTGTATTTTCTAATCAACGTGTATATTACTGATCTTATTCAGTGCTCTCGTGTTTCTATTTTTCTGCACAGCCTTGTTTAGTTTTCACAGCGTGGCAGCAGATCTGTAGAATAAAATATATAATTAACTTTTTTTTGGCACTCATACATCCAGAAGAAAGCAATAGAGATATGAGGACACCCTAGGGAAAATCAAAACATAAGCTATAGTTACCACACACAGACTGGAAACTAAATGATGACGGCGTCTTGTTACAAGAACAAGTGTACTTCGACTCTCGATCGACGATGTTACTGCCGGCTCCTCCCCACTCTAGCTTTCCTCCTCAATCAGTCAATCAGCCTGTCTTTTACAGAACGTCGCTCTCTTCACGGCACACGCCTAAAAGTCTTTCTTTCACTAGCCAATTCTTCAACCATGTATGCTTTCATAGCCAGTGCATCTTTAATATCCTGTATCCACATTCGCAGAAGTGGGCCTCTACGTCGTTTTCCGGAAACTACACCCTCCATCACGGTTTTCTCCAGACCAGGTGGCTCCTGTCATGTCCAAAACACCTCAGCTTTCGGGAGAGGATGCTGTTTAAAGGACTCCCTCCTCCTCCTACTCGCGCCCAAAATGCCATCTCTTAACTTAAAAAAAATGTTGACGGCATCGTTAGTAAAGCTTGTTTTAAAAAGTGTCATTCGTTGTTTGTTTGTTTGAAACAAACGGTGTATAAATCAAATCATAATGGGAAAGAATATGTTGGTAACGAGACACGGCAAGAATCAGAATTTGACAAAGGAGTTCCTGCAACTTTAATGGCGTTGGTATGCATGCCTGTACCCGGTCTTCTGTTTCTGGGACTGTCAATCTTCTTCTTTTTCTTCTTCTTCCAGTTCACAGGCTTTAAACTCCGACGGAAGGTTCTGGTTGTTCGTCCGCTTCTAGACTATAGTCCCTTACCAGAAACTGAGTGTTGCATGTTTACCCGTTTTACAGGTTTGACACATCTCTACGCAGACTGTTGGTTCCTTGACTCTCAGGCAGATGTACTCCGACCTTGAAGGAAGCACCCATTTAGTCGACTCTTACGACATGCTTTTGGGCAGGCCGTGGGTCTATTCTTGTTTTCCCTACAATCGGGTCCTGGAACCCACACGGAGAGGACTGTCAGTCATTTCTCATTCAGATGTTCCTCGCCTGATGTTTCTTACTTAGTCTTTCTCAGTCTTTCTTTCCCTCCACCTGTCCCCTTGTCGTGACAAAGTGCAATCTTCCCATTCTTACAACATGCTCACTGAATGTAAACTACAGTTAAAGTAGTTGCATGTTTTTCACAGGACGTTGCAGAACCAAACACAGCATTTTTTAACTGTTGTGGTTTTCCTAAGCGTTCAGTAGTTTGCCATTGTTGCCTAAAGGTCAGCACTCGGTACCACTGTCGGAACTAACGCAAGACGGTCTGCTGCCAAATTGTCTGTACCTGGGATCGAACCCGGCATTACGAAGCACGTTCGCAACAGTCAAGCCACAGACTCCCAAGTAATCTATAAACAGTCAAGCCACAGACTCCCACGTAATCTATAGTGATGGCAAAAAAAAAAAAAAAAAAGACAAGTCTTCTTCTTTATTTAAAATTCTAAGCCCTTGAGGCTCATTGCCCTAGATATCCGCCGCATCCCTCCACCTCTGTAACTGGCTTTCGCTTTATAGTTGGTGACTCCAAGTTCAATGACAGATAACAGAGAGACAAATAGCGGCGTAGAGAAAAGTTTGGCATGGTCGTGTTCCCGTGTGGGTTATAAGGTCGCAGTTTGGAGACAACAAGAACAGACCCACTGCCCCCTGAGAAGCATGTCGTAAATGGTGACTAATAAAGGTTGTTTTCTTCTAAGCTAGAGAGTCGAGGAACCAACAATCTGCATACAGATACGCCAGATCAATAGAACAAATTTGTCCATAAAACACTCAATTTCTAAGACAAGGTCGAAGTTCAGAATTAGGCCAACAACCAGAAGAGTCGAAGATTACAGCCGATGAACGCTAAGAAGAAGAATGGGAGTGAACCATGAGGCAGACCAAGAAAGGTGTGGAGAGATATACAAGAATAACTGAATTAATGAACTCACGAGCAATCTTTGTGCTGTTTCCAAAGTGTCAGATGGTTTTTTAAAAAAAGGACAATAGTAAGCTTATGAAAACTACTAAAAAAAAAATGAATAAAAGCTCACTTTAAATTCTCAAATGAACCGGAGGGAAATTCATCGTTCAGTGAGTTTAAAACAAATTGTTTTTGGTGCGACAAATTCTAAAGATGCAGTACAGTGCAAAATGAACTATTTTCTGGAAGTTCATATTTGTTATGCACAGCTAAAAGAGATGAAGCCTTATTATAAATTTTTGACAACATTCTTGCGACGAATCTTTGGACCCAACAAAGATGCAAACAGCGAGGAATGGAGAGCGAGAAGCAAGAAGTAAATTCATAATATGTTTAAATCACCACTAATCACTGGCATCATTAGGGCTAATAGTCTGAAATGGCTGGGGCATATTGGAAGAATGCAAGATGACAGAGAAGTAAAAACTGTATACACAAGGGAACTCAATAGTCGTAGACCACGAGGCAGACTAAGAAGACTATGGAGAGATAATATCAAGGTAGACCTACAGACACTTGGTGCCACCAACTGAAAGAGAAGGTCAACCAGATTGGAGGCGGATGATTTCTGCGTAATGAACCTCAATTGCTTTAAATGCTGACTAAGAAGTAGTCTTTTTCGGAATTTCTTTCGATGAAATGCTGTCGTAATTTGGTGTTTGCATGTTTGAATTCTTTTATGATTACTACAAATGTCAAATGTTTTTTTTTTACCAGTGTATTTTCTCATCCTTACTTCTGTTGCTAGTTTCTATAGTGTCTTTTTCTTTCTTTCTTTCTTTCTTTCTTTCTTTCTTTCTTTCTTTCTTTCTTTCTTTCTTTCTTTCTTTCTTTCTTTCTTTCTTTCTTTCTTTCTTTCTTTCTTTCTTTCTTTCTTTCTTTCTTTCTTTCTTTCTTTCTTTCTTTCTTTCTTTCTTTCTTTCTTTCTTTCTTTCTTTCTTTCTTTCTTTCTTTCTTTCTTTCTTTCTTTCTTTCTTTCTTTCTTTCTTTCTTTCTTTCTTTTTCTTTCTTTCTTTCTTTCTTTCTTTCTTTTCTTTGTTTGTTTGTTTGTTTGTTTGTTTGTTTGTTTGTTTGTTTGTTTGTTTGTTTGTTTGTTTGTTTCTTTCTTTCTTTCTCTCTTTCTTTCTTTTTTTCATTCTCTCTTTCTTTCTTTCTTTCATTTATTCTCTCTTTCCTTATGTCTTCTTCTTTTTCTTCTTTTATTGCTTCTTTTCTGATGTCCTATTTTTCTTTCTTTCAAAAGCCGAAACAAAATATAGAACTATAGTTTTAAATCTAAGTTGCGTATTTTCAATTCTAATATTATCTGAACTTGAACACACTTCAGTGATGGTTTGGGAAACAACGAAAGACAATGGAGGAAAGTTAAATGCCGGAGAACCAGGGAAATGGGTGAGCATTGAATATGACGAGACAGGACGAAATAAGAAAAATATGTGCTTGTGTTGATATTGTTAAGGAAAAGAAGATGGCAATGTATTTACTAATCACATCTTGATGAGAACCGATTATAGAGTCACCCAACAGGAAATGAAGTGGGAAACAAATAGCTATGACGACAAAAACGCCGAAAAGAAACCTTAAAATAAACATTAGAGGCTAAAAGCCAAAGGTGGTAGAAAAGACTCCATCTACGATATTGATACCATTGCACATTACATAATTAAGTGGCCAAAAAAAAAAAAAAAAAAGAATGTCAGCCCCGTAAAACTGAATCACGGCACAACATGATGACTCTGTTATCAGTTATACAAACCTCAAAGCTCTCCCTTCTCTGCCGTGCTTTTACGACATTGTTGCTGTCAAGGAAAGAATACCAGCATACGCCTGCACACATTTGTGTCTGAAATTACACCATGCGTGCCGAAAGTAGCATCTCCAATTACATTAGATGTGCACAGATTGAGGACTTCAATTACTTTATTAACTGTGCAAATTAAAATGCTGGACGGTCAGTTGTTCCGAAATAAAATGTGGTAATTTGATTCAGCTTGCTGCATAATCGTGGTTTTTAACTTGTTTTGCCCAAGATTTAACCCCAATAATGCCAAAAAGATGCGTTATCTGACCCTTTGCAGGTGATTACTTTAACTCTGACCATAGCGTCACAAGGTTAACTCACCCTGCCTCAATACTTTAAATCACCTCTGACTCGGTTCTCCAACTCACCCCGACCCAGTTCTTAAATCCACCCTGTCCCAGTTACGAAACCCAATCTGTCCCAGCTCTCAGATCCACCCGGTTACAGTTCTCAGACCCCTCATGGCCCATATCAACACAATATGTCTCATTTTCTCAGTAGAATTTCTTTAACTCTCCGTTCCTGATACTACAATTCAAGCTTGCATATTTCTCAAGAACTAAGCACTCCAAGCCCCTTTGACTAAATGACAAGACCTTTCGATCCGCAGGCAAACGTCTAGCCGCTACACCACCATCGCACCTATATATACAATGTATGTATATATATATATATATATATATATATATATATATATATATATATATATATATATATATATACACACACACACACAAGGTTAGTAAAGAAACCTTCTAAAGCCACTTTCTCTTCAGGCAAATGGTGTTTGGCAGACATGCAGAGCTAGTGTGTGTCTGTCTGTCTGTCTGTCTGTCTGTCTGTCTGTCTGTCTGTCTGTCTGTCTGTCTGTCTGTCTGTCTGTCTGTCTGTCTGTCTGTCTGTCTGTCTGTCTGTCTGTCTGTCTGTCTGTATACACAATGATAGTGTGACATTCACACATACGTACAGAAAAATAGATAGACAGACAAAAGATCGCACACATACACGCCGTGAGAGACAGAGGGGAGTGAGTA